CGTGAAATTAACAATACCCCGAGCATCTTAGAAAATGTCTTTAATTCTTTGAGGAACAGGTGTGAAAAGTGCTTGGAACAAGGAGGGGGACACTTTCAGCAGCTGCTTTAATTTATTGTTATAACAAGGAGGGGGACACTTTCCGCAGCTCCTTTAATTGTTTGTTATTGTTATCACGATTATTCTTTAAAATAAAGTTATATAGTCATTAACGTTATTGAAACTGACAGCTGCTATACAGCTCGTTGAGAAATGAGGTTAAGTTGGTCGCTATAAGCTACTCCCTACGTCCAATGTGTAAGAGCCAACTTCGACCACGTTTTTATTTGAACGCTCGTTATTATTACTATTACTACATTATTTAGTAGCACTTATACAAATGTATACGTAATAGTTATTTACACCAGAAAGAAGGTATTATTTACCAGTCGAGGACGATTTTGCGCCCGAGCGAAGCGAGTCCGAGACTGCTAATTATACTTAACTTCTGCGTGGTGTATAACAATTTATATGTTCCAACAGTTCTTTATAATAAAGATTAGGTTTTATTTTTTGACATTTCATAATCAATTGATTTTGACATCATTCGAAATCCTGCAATGTCGCCTTGGTTCTTTGGATTTTGTCGTTTCTAAGGTGTTTATAAATAAAGCTACATAAAAGTTGCAATTTTGCTGGTTTTGAATTATTATTTCTAAATTAAATTTCTAAATGAAATAGAAAGTGCAGCGCAGCAAATGCTGCCTGCGAATTTTTATTGCCCGAGAAGTCGAAAGTGCGCTACGTACAAGCTTATAGAAATTTCAGTGAATTGTGCCAGAACAAAAATACTGGTGTTTCTGAAATAGCATATTTCATGGAGAAGTCAAGAACTTTAAAGTCACCGGCGAGTTTTTGGAGACAATAGTCAATGATTAAATCAACTATTTTGATAGAGAAGAACGTAGTTGTAGCAAAATACCCCAAGCTGAGAGCATTTTTGAAAGGTAAGAATGACGGCTGTAGTACACCTAAAAAGTTAAATGTTTGTACAAGAGAACTAGTCAATGATTTTCTCGTTCAGGCACCCGATAACACATATTTGGTAGGTAATTAAGGTAGTGACGGTCTTAGACATTGCAGAAGCATACCGTTCTGATGAGTTATGCAAACTTACTTTGGACAACTACAATTTCAAACATTTCGATGACATTATTGTAGTTACAATTCCAGATTCTAAAAATGGTAAGTCACGTACTTTTACAATTACTTCTCGTCTGAATTCTGTTTCTCACCTAGAAATTCTCAAGAAATATATCAAGATTAGATTGGAAATTAAAACCGAAATTTCACACTTTTTTATGCGCTATCAAGCAGGTAGATGTTACAACCAACCACTCGGCAAGAATATCCTTTCTATGATTCCTAATAAGATTGCAAAGTTTTTGAAACTAGAACATCCGGAAACATATACAGGCCATTCATTCCGAAGAACATCAGCAACGTCACTAGCTAATACAGGAGTTGATATATTAGTAATCAAGAGACACGGTGCGGGTTGAAATCAGCAACAATTGGGGAAAGTTATGTTGCTGACAGTTTAAGTAACAAAAATGAAATAGCTAACAGGATTCTTTACAATGTCACTTCAACTCCAGTAGTACGTCGCATCATACTGTTTAAATGGATCAGTCAGATAATATTGAGCCTTCGATGACTGAAACGGAGCGGTCAAACCATTTTGAGAAAAATGTGACATTTATAACTCGAAATCGCTTTTTTTCCTAGGGAGGTAGTTACCTCACTTACCTCCCGTTGTCCATAGCAACTTCCACTTCTACGGTAAAATCCATTTACCTCCTTAAAAACAATGTATTAATAGTCTATTTACTATAGTGGGAGCAGATAAAAGTATATTACGTTTAGGGAATAAATTCTTATTGTATTTAGATACTTAGATAGGCACTAAACGGTGTTTTTCCCAGTGCTCTAAATATCCAATTTTTAGATGCTTGACATAATTATAGGAGAATATAACATCTACGAAAAAATTTCCATCCCATAAATATTAAGATCGATATTTCTGGCCAACTATAGCATGACATTTTCCAGTATTTTCTCCCAAGGCAATAAAAATTAAGTATATTGATATACTTGTTCTATAAATGTTACTTTTTCCAAATAATGAAGGCAATAATCTACGTTTTGTATATACTTTTCACTTTAGAGATCAAATACTCTTAATAATATTGTGTCGTCCACTCGCCCACATGTAAGACACTATTTGAATCCTCGTTGCCCACATTTAACAATAATTCCGCCAGTGGTCGATAAAAGTCCCGGAGGATTCGAGCACAAAGTTGCAGTCGCATTTGAGTTCCAGGCGATACGGCTCCGGAATCAGAGCGATTCCGGGGACAGCTTTCTGCTCTTTCGAGCCGTACTGAATTTCTATCGATTAGCTTTTTTCAACTTTTGACCAGGGGTGAATAAAATAAAGCGCTTTTTAAAAATGTTAGGTTTATAGTGCCATAAGCGATTTTCTGTACATTCAACAGGCGTATAAAGCTGGGGAAACGTATTATTTTGAATGTATCGTCGGTTGTTTTATACCCTGAAAAAAACTTATGTAACTGTGTGAAGAGATACTGCTTCTAACTTGCTTAGATTTTCTAAAATGCTGAACATAAAATTGCGCATAAAAACGATCCTCTTAATAGTAAGGAATGCAGTTATCTTCGTTACAATTGAATACAATTAATAATTGATACATATCTATGTCGGCGATACATGACATTTCCTGTATAGATATAATCTTATCTAATATCTATTTAAAGAATTACACTGTAAGTTGATCTAGCCACAATAAAATGTTGGTAATGTGGAACTTGGAAGAGATTTTTCCACCATTATCAAGACAACTGCAAT